CAACCCAAGTTTTTCTAGCTTCTCCTTATAGCTCATACCATCTAATCCAGGCAGCATCCTGGTAAATCTCTTCTGCAGCCTCCTCAAGGCCTCGACATTCTTCCTGTTATGTGGCAACCAGAATTGAATACAGTATTCTGTGGCCTAACCAGGGTCTTGTAAAGCTGCAACATGGCATCATGACTGTTGTCCTCAGTTCCCCAAGCAATAAAGGCAAGCATGCCATACGCCTTCTTCACCACCCTATCCACTTGTGTGGCCACTTTCAGGGAGTACGGGCTTGAACCCTAAGATACTTCTGTACACCAATGCTGTTCAGGGTCCTGCCATTAACTGTGTACTTTTCCTTAACATGTGATCTCCCAAAGTGCAGCACCTCATACTTAGCCGAATTAAACTCCATCTGCCATTTCTCCACCCTTATCTGTAACTGATCTATATCCCGCTGTATCCTTTGACAACCTTCTACGCTATCCAAAACTCCATTCATCTTAGTATCATCTGCAAACTTACTTTATATATAGTTTATGTATTATCACAAGCAGCAGAGGTCCCAGTACGGATCCCTGTGGAACACCACAAGTCATGGACCTCCAGCCTGAAAAACAACCTTCCACCACTCTCTGCCTTCCATGGTCAAGCCAATTCTGAACCCACGAGGCCAAGTCACCCATGCATCTTAATCTTCTAGATGTGCCTACCACGAGGGACCTTGTTGAAAGCCTTACTAAAATCCATGTAAACAACATTCACTGCTCTACTCTCATCAATCACTTTCGTCACCTCCTTGAAAAATTAATTTACGTTATCAAGATGACCTACCCTGCACCATGCCAAGCTGACTGTCCCTAATTAGGCCATGCTTTTCCAAATGCAAATAAATCCTATCCCTAAGCATTCTCTCCAATAGCTTCCCAACCACTAATGTGAGACTCGCCGGTGTGTAGTTTTCAGGATTATCCCTATTTCCTTTCTTGAACAGAGGAACAACATTGCCTTCATTGCTCAGAGCATTGAGTATAGGAGTTGGAATGTCATGCTGTGGTTGTACAAGATGTTGGTGGGGCCACTTTTGGAGTACTGCATTCTGTTCTGGCTGCCCTGTTATAGGAAGGATATTATTAAATTGGAACAAAAATAAAGTTGCTGGAAAAGCTCAGCAGGTCTGGCAGCATCTGTGAAGGAGAAAACCGAGTTAATGTTTCGGGTCCGGTGACCCTTCCTCAGTGTGTATTATTAAATTGGAGAGGGTGCAGAAAAGATTTACAAGGATATTACTTGGACTGGATGGTTTAAGTTATAAGAAGAGGCAGGATAGACTGGGACTTTTTTTACTGGAGGTTGTGAGGGGTGACCTCTTGGAGGTTTGTAAAATCACAAGAGGCATGGATAAGTTGAGTAGCAAAGGCTTTTTCCCCCCTAGAGTAGAGAAGTTCAAGATTAGAGGGCATAATTTTAAGGTTAGAGGGGAAAGATTTAAAAGGGACCTGAGGGGCAATGTTTTCACTGAGGGTGATTCGTATCTGGAGTGAACTGCTAGAGGAAGTGATAGATGCAGGTACCTTTACAACATTTAAAAGACATTTGGACAAGTACATGAATAGGAAATAGACTGGCTTCTGATTTGTGAACAATTTGAAACAATTCTTGTGTGAGGAGGTTGTGATTTTGAACTGGACTCCACATGCTAGAGCACCTAATCTGGATTGACACATTAGTACAATGCTGAGTGAGTGTTGCAGGTGCCATCATCCAGAGGGACGTTAAACCGAGCTCTCACCCTCCGCCAGCCACAGTGGTGGGCGGTTGTTAAAGAGGTGGAGGTGGGGGTGGCTTGAAAGAGACTAGGAGTTTAATTGATGGATTGCTTCTCGCCCTCCCCCAACAATACCAAAATCAAAAAACTTGTTGCTGAATTTGGAATGGCAATTTCATTTCCCACTGAATAGTCACTACCTTTCGCTTTTTATATCAGGTGGGTAAATGACACGGAGCAGGATGGTGTGAGTTACAGCCAAGGTTATGATGTGTTTAAAATGAGGATAGTGCTTGAAAATAAAATGCAAAGTGGCCACTTAGTAAATTTGTTGCAGAGAAAATGGTAACAATTTCTCCATGGTATAAACATCTGGAACAACAGCCAGATAGTGATATTGTGAAGCAGCTCCTACACCAGCCTGACCCAGTGGTGAAATAACTAACCAACTCTCACAGCCAACTTCATCATGTTGGCTAACCAACTCTCCCACTCAGGAGGCTTGTTCGAGATTTCATTGACTGGGAGCTGCTTAGTGATTTCACCGAGTTGCTCAGTCTGGTTGAGAGAGCTGGTTAATAAGTTTACACCAAGGAAAATATGGTGCGACTTAACTCTTGGTTGGTTGGGGGTTGGGGGGTGGGGGGCACGGTGGGGTTGGTGTTGGTGGTGGTGGTGGGGGGAATGGGGGATGGGTAATGTGATGGCCACTAACCTGTTCAGTGAAATTGCTAATCAGTTCTCTCACTAAACACAACCCAACCAATGAAATTGCTGTAATTTAGTTCCTTGCTGTTCATTCAGAACATTTCTGGAACTCATTGCTGATTACTTTCAAAGTTTGAACGTTAGGCTTAAGCGTTTGTACAAGATCTCAAACATCAGTGAACAAATTAAACTGACTGATTCATCTACTCTCCTCAGAATCAAGATGTGTTTTTTTTAGACTGTTTCCCCACAGGCTGCTTAGAGATTGTGGGCAGCCAGAGAAACAGATGTTGGAGCCTCAATCCTGGGACAGCAGGTGTTCTGCATGCCTTTCTTTTTTAAAAAAAAAGTTCCTTTTACTACTGTCCCTCAACCAAGGTAAAGCTAGCCAGAACCAAAACTGAAAAGTGCTGGAAATACATGGTGAGTCTCTCCATTGCTGGGGAGAGAATTGACAAGTTTACACATCAAGTGCCAACTTTGTTAGGACTGAAAGCTTTGTCAAAGGGTCAACACCAAAAATATGAATGAACCCTGAAGTAATTAATAGTTTTTCAACTCCAAGTCTAAATTTGATTCCCCATTCTAAACTTTCTCTGCGTGGAGAAGGATTTTATACTAAACATCATTTCATACTTGCCAGTAAACAGAAAACTTGACCTTGCTTTGAATTTTTACAATATTTTTAAGGGGACAAATTACAAGTTGTCTTTAGCTAAGTTTCTATCCCTCTGGAATTTGATTCCTTGGGGGAAGGTGGTTTAAAAATTGAAGGGAATGCAAAAAAAATGTGAAAGAAACTGGGACTGAAATAATAAAATTCTTCCCAAACTCTGTTTACAAGTTTGAGAGCAGAACAAAGAATTTGACTTGATACCAGCTAATCAGCTGCTGAGGCCCACATCTTTGCCTTTTTACCTTTGTGCACAGATTCCAGTATTCTACAACTCTCCTGGTTGGCCTCCCATCTGTCATCCTCCTCAAAACTGAGGTCATCCAAAATTCTGCTCATACCCTAACTAGTTGAAAATAGCATTCACCCATCACTTTATACCCACTGACCTGCCCCAGCTCCCAGTCTGACAACACAAAGATTTTAAACTATACATCGTTCCATGCACTTGCACCTCCCTTTCTCTGCAATGTCCCACTGTTTGAGAAATCTACACTGACCTCTCACCTAGACCAAATTTCAATTGCTATACTGCACGTGGCCATGTCTGTAGTTGTATGGTCCTAAGCTCTGCAATTTCATCCTTAAACCTCTCCCTCTCGGTCTTCTGAAAAACCTACCGCTTGGTCACCTACTTTTATACTTGCATTTATGACAATTTTGGTCTAAAACCACCTCCTCTAAAATGCCTTGGGATGCTTTGCTTTGTTAAAGGTATTAAATAAATGCATGATTTTGTTGCTGTTGATAAAGGCCAGGGATTAGGGTCATTCTGATACAGTGCAGCAGGAGGCAGATGAGAATATTTTTACTCCTAAGGGTTGTGTGACTTTGCAACCATGCCTCACAAGGAGGTGGAGGTAGGGTCATTGAATAATCTTTAAGCTGAAGGTAGGTAGGTAGGTTTAGGTTGGCAGGGGAATTAACAGTTATCGGGATAGATGGGAATTTAAAAAGTAAACAAATCAGGCATGACCTTGAATGATGGAGCAGTATTCAAGGGCTGAATGGCCTACTTCTGCTCCCACTTCATATTTTCTTATGTAGCCAATCATCTGTAGTGGGTGCTGGCATGTTGCAGAAAAAAAAAACTGCAGTTCTTGCTGTTTTTACAATATCAGGTTTGCTACTAAATTACTTAGCTTTGATATCAGAAACTAAACTCTTTGACCTTGATGAATATGCAATAAAAATGTCAAAAATAACTTTGTATTCTTAAATGTACTTTTTTTTTAGTTACAACTTTTGAATTTCAAATCTTATACATTGGTGAACTGTGGTTCTCTAATATTCCCCACATTCTTCAGGTCAGGTTACTCTTTCTAATATTCTGCCCATGTATAATAGATGGGGGCTAGAAGTAAAGTGCTACAAAAAGCTGAAGTGCTATCGAGTGATCTGTGTTCAGCTTCAACTAGAATCCTTCATACACTTGTATACACACTTACGTATGTGATTTTGTGGAAACAACTGAAAAGATTGTAACAGGTTGGGCAGATCCCTGCATTTATGGGCTTTTCTTGTTATCCATTCTTAAAAATTGAAGTTGAAGATGACAAAGTTGGAGTTCCAATAATTACTATCTATACTCAGTACAACAAAAATATCCCCATACAACTCCCCCATAATTAGGAGCAAGAGGAGGCTGTTTAGACCTTCTAGAATGCTGAGTTAATGAGACCATTGCTCATTTATAGCTTAAAACAAGCTATTCACCTTGGTTCCTTAAGCTTAATGTCCTTGTATAACAAAAGAGGGACTTTTTTAATTCATTCACAAGTTCTGGGTATCACTGACTAGGCCAGCAACTATTGCCCGTCCCCAATTGTCTCTAAGAAGTTACCTTTTTTTGAATTACTGCAGCCTCTCTGGTGTATGTCCAACCACATAACTGTTTGCTGGGGAGTGCCAGGATTTTGACACAGTGAAAGCGAAGGAATGGCGTATGTTCCAAAGTCACGATGGTGAGTTGCAGGTGGTGATGTTCCCATGCATTTGCTGCCTTTGTCCTTGTAAGTGGGAGAGTTTGTGGGTTTGGAAGATGCTGCCAAAGGCATCTTGGTGAATTTCTACAGTGCATCGTACAGATGGCACACACAGCTGGCACTATGCATCGATGGCGAGAAGAATGAGCGTTGAAAGTGGTGGATGCAGTACCTGTCAAGTGGGCTGCTTTGCTCTGAATAATGTTGAACTCTTGACTGTTTTTTGGACCTGTGGCAATTCAGATAAGTGGAGAATATTTCATCACATCCTGACTTGTGCCTTGTGCTTGGTAGATCGCACGTTTTTGTTTTCTTTATTCATTCACAGGATGAGGGCGTGGCTGGGTAGGCCAGCATTTATTGTCCATCCCTAATTGCCCAGAGTCAAACACATTGCTGTGGGTCTGGAGTCACATGGAGGCCAGACCAGGTAAGGAAGGCAGTTTCTTTCCCTAAAGGACATTAGTGAACCAGATGGGTTTTTCCTGACAATCGACAGTGGATTCATAGTCATTACTAGATTCTTTAATTCCAGATATTCGTTGAACTCAAATTCCACCTTTGCTGTGGCGCGATTCGAACCTGGATCCCCAGAACATTATCTGGGTCTCTGAATTAACAGTCCAATGATAGTACCGCTAGGCCATCGCGTCCCCCAACATTAAGGAGACAGCGAAAGAGTTACTCATCACAGAATTCCTAGTATCTGACTTGCTCTTGTAGGCACTGTATTTATATGGCCAGTGGTAACCCCAAGATGCTGATAATGGGACATGCAGCAGTGGTAATGCAATTTAATGACAAGGAGAGATGGTTGAATTCTCTCATTGTATGTAGTCATTGCCCAGCAGTTGTGCAGTGCAAATGTTAGTTATCACTTATCTGGATAAACCTGGAATTGTCCAGTTTTTGTCGCACATGGGCACAGGCTGTTTCAGTGTCTGAGGAGTCACAAATCATGTCAAACACCATGCATTGAAGATCCCCACTTCTGACCTTTTAACAGTGGCAAGGTCATTGATGAAGCTCATCTCGTCTCTAGAACATCCCATCCAATGCACGTGTGTCTGCACATGTGTGCTCACTCATGTACTTGTGCGCTCTCTCTCTCTCTCTTCCACCTCCCATCTCTCTCTCTGTCTCTCTTCCACCTCCCATCTCTCTCTCTCTCTCTCTCTCTCTCTCTCTCTCTCTCCCTCTCCCCCCCCCCCCCCCCCACCCCCCCCCTCATGCTTGCTGTCTCTCTCTCTCTCTTTTCTTTCTCCCTCTCCCCACCACCATCTCACAGCAGATTATGTAATGTTGAATGTGAGATAGATATTGACCAGGACACTGAGGTAATGCCCTCGTCCTTCTTCAGAACAGTTCCATGAGACTATTTATGTGTACTTGAGAGAGAACAGGAGGCCCTGATTTAACATCTCTTCTAAAACTTGGCAACTCATAGAATCCCCACAGTGTGGAAAGAGGGCATTTGGTCCATGGAATCTGCATTGACCTTCCGAAGAGCATCCCACCCAGACCCAGACCCAGACCACCACCCTACCCCATAACCCCTCATTAACCATGGCTAATCTGCTTAACCTGCACAACCCTGAACACGTGGCCAACCCACCTAGTCTGCACATATTTGGACTGTGGGAGGAAACCGGAGCAACTGGAGGAAACCCACGCAGACGCTGGGAGAATCTGAAAACTCCACACAGACAGTTGCACAAGGGTGAAGTCGAGCGTGGGTTCCTAGCACTGTGAGGCAGCAGTGCTAACCACTGAGCCACCATGCTGCCCACTAAAAGCAAATTTTAAGGAAATTCCAGTGCAACATTCCCTCAGTACTGCATTACAGTACCAACTTTGAACTCAGATCTGGGGTAGGACTTGAAATCAACAACGTACTTTCTCAGTTGTGAAAATGTGACCAACTGGACCACAACTTGTGTTCATTTATGCCCCTTTGTTCTGGATGCATTCGTTTGAGAATTACTTTCTCCACATTTATCTTATCTAATGCATGCAAAGTCTATATCAGCTCTTCTCTGTAGAAAAGATAAGACTTGATTGAAGTTCATCCTGTTACTTAACTCAACATTCAGTGTATACTAAATGTGATGCCGCCTCCAAACTGTACATGCAAGCACTTGCTAATAAGCTGCTGACTTTAAAAGAGACATGTTCCCATATGCCTGTAAAGAGCTTCACTTTACCCCACAGGTTCAGATTACTCATTGCAGCATAATACATGAGAGTCTTACTCAAAGTTTGGCATGATTGATCAGAACAAGCCATTTTTGGTATTGTATTTCCTATCTGGGTTGTCTGGGCAGTGACATTACAGCAAAACATTCATTAAAGCAGTGATCTTGTCAACTTAGATCACAAAGTTACAAGCCGATCTCAAGGTTTAGAGTTGTGTGATGAGACTACAGTGATGTGGACTTCCCAGCTTGTGAAAGAGAATGAAGAGTGATATTGAAGGAATTAACATAATTTCATTTTGAAACTGGCTTTGAACTAAATTATCACTAGGATAAAAGGAGGCTGTTTGACCCAAAGTTCTTGTGCTGGCTGTTTAGAAGAGCTAACTTAGTTCCTGTCTCCTCTCTTTTCCCATCCTTTTTTTTTTCAACTATATAGCTAATTCCCTTTTTAAAGTTAGTACTGAATCTGTATCTATTGCTCTTGCAGATTATCATGACTGCTCAGTGAAATTTCATCTTTCTTTGTTCCTGTCAAATATTTCTGCAAGATCTGTGTTTTGTGTTTTACCAATCCTCTTACTAGTTGCTCCTTATTTTTTCTGTGGAAGGTCTTCAATGGACATGTTCAAAATCAAGAATTTTCCCTTGTATCTTGCTTTAAAGAGAATAATCCCACCATTTCCTGTCTTTGCATGTCACTGAAATCCCACCTCCTCGGTACTATTCTGGTAAATCTCATCTGCATTATTCCCATAGCAGAGCTTTCCAGGGCAGAGAATTCCAAAGACATTTGACCTTTTTTAATGCAGAATTTCCTTCTTGGCTTAGTCATAAAAGGCTAAACCTTTAGTCTCAGACTTTGACACCATGGATCACTCGGCTAGACGTAACATATTCACTCCGTGTCTACTTTACCAAGTCCAAATTTTATGTTTTAGTTCGATCATCTCTCATTGACTTGAAACCCAGGAAATAAAAGCCTAGTCAACACTATTGTCCATCCAGACAATTGGTTATGTTCCCTCTAGTGCATGTATATAGTCCTTTTGGTATAGAAATCAAAAATGCATACAGTCATCCACTGCTTGCCAGTTTTTGTAAGACTTCTTTACTCTTTTATTCCAATGCTTTGTAACAAAATCCAACTTACCATTTGTCTTCCTAATTGTTGACTGTACCTGCACATTAACTTTAACTTTATGATCATAATCAGGGTCATTCAGACATTTCCCAGTCTCTCTCCATTCAAAAACAGTCATACAGCATGGAAACAGGCCCTTTGGCCCAACTTGTCCATGCCAACCAGGCTTCCTAGACTGAACTATTTTAATTTGCCTGTGTTTGGCCCATATCCCTCTAAGCTTTTCCTATGCATGCTGTATCCAAATGTCTTTTTAAATGTTATAATTGTACCCACCTGTACCACTTCCCGTGGCAGTCTGTTCGATACACACACCACCCTGTGAGTGAAAAAGTTGCCCCTCCGGCTTTTTTTTTAACAGAAGTGGATAACTTTGCACTTCACATTGTATGTCATCTGTTATGTTCTTGTCCACTTGTCAGCCTGTCTCTACTCTTCTGTGGCCTTTTTTCAACCTATAGCAGAGGCCCAAGTCCTGATCCTAATGATGCCCCTTCATAGCAGCTTGCCAAACTGAAAGTGTCCCATTCATTCTGCAATCTGTTTTCTGTCCATTAACTAATCCTCATTCATGTTCGTTTATTACTCCCAAATCTCCTGAGCCCTCATTTTGTGTAGTAAGATGTCATTGGTCCAAACTAGTAAAAGGCAAATTTAGAACTGATAAGTTTTTCATTAACACACAAGTGGAATTCCCAACAGAAGAATGGAGACAATAACAATTGTTCAAGAATCACCTCATGAAGCAGCAGCAGAGGAGCAAAGTGTTTAGGATTTTGCCGAATGGGTGAATCGTGATGAGCTAAACAACTTCCATCATCTGCAATTTTGTTGAAAGTACATTACCCAAAAGATACCACCTCTGTCACTGCACTCCTCCATCAGTACTGCCGTTCTTGACAGCACAGACCTTCCTCTCTCCTGTGTTGGCATGTTAACTTGGACTATGGGCTCAGGTCTCTGGAGTAGGAATTGAATCCATGATTGTAGGAACTGCAGATGCTGGAGAATCTGAGATAACAAGGTGTAGAGCTGGATGAACACCGCAGGCCAAGCAGCATTAGAGGAGCAGGAAAGCTGACGTTTTGGGCCTAGACCCTTCTTCAGAAA